TTTGTCCATGAGGGTGTCTTCAATAAAGGTCAATGTAATATCTTTCAGAGTTATTGTCTGAATCCCGATATACATGCTAAAAGGTACAACTTCCTTAAGTTTTGTCCATGATTGTGTCTTCAGTAAAGGTCACTGTAATATCTTTCAGAGTTATTGTCTGGATCCCGATATACATGGTAAGAGGTACAACTTCCTTAAGTTTTGTCCATGAGTGTGTCTTCAATAAAGGTCACTGTAATATCTTTCAGAGTTATTGTCTGAATCCCGATATACATGCTAAAAGGTAGAGCTTCCTTAAGTTTTGTCCATGAGGGTGTCTTCAATAAAGGTCAATGTAATATCTTTCAGAGTTATTGTCTGAATCCCGATATACATGCTAAAAGGTACAACTTCCTTAAGTTTTGTCCATGAGGGTGTCTTCAATAAAGGTCACTGTAATATATTTCAGATTTATTGTCTGAATCCCGATATACATGCTAAAAGGTACAACCTCCTTAAGTTTTGTCCATGAGTGTGTCTTCAATAAAGGTCACTGTAATATCTTTCAGAGTTATTGTCTGAATTCCGATATATATGCTGAAAGGTACAACTTCCTTAAATTTTGTCCATGAGTGTGTCTTCAATAAAGGTCACAGTAATATCTTTCAGAGTTATTGTCTGAATCCCGATATACATGCTAAAAGGTACAACTTCCTTAAGTTTTGTCCATGAGTGTGTCTTCAATAAAGGTCACTGTAATATCTTTCAGAGTTATTGTCTGAATTCTGATATATATGCTGAAAGGTACAACTTCCTTAAGTTCTGTCCATGAGTGTGTCTTCAATAAAGGTCACTGTAATATCTTTCAGAGTTATTGTATGAATCCCGATATATATGCTGAAAGGTACAACTTCCTTAAGTTTTGTCCATGAGTGTGTCTTCAATAAAGGTCACTGTAATATCTTTCAGAGTTATTGTCTGAATCCCGATATACATGCTAAAAGGTACAACTTCCTTAAGTTTTGTCCATGAGTGTGTCTTCAATAAAGGTCACTGTAATATCTTTCAGAGTTATTGTCTGAATTCAGATATACATGCTGAAAGGTACAACTTCCTTAAGTTTTGTCCATGAGTGTGTCTTCAATAAAGGTCACTGTAATATCTTTCAGAGTTATTGTCTGAATTCCGATATACATGCTAAAAGGTACAACTTCCTTAAGTTTTGTCCATGAGTGTGTCTTCAATAAAGGTCACTGTAATATCTTTCAGAGTTATTGTCTGAATTCTGATATATATGCTGAAAGGTACAACTTCCTTAAGTTTTGTCCATGAGTGTGTCTTCAATAAAGGTCACTGTAATATCTTTCAGAGTTATTGTCTGAATTCTGATATATATGCTGAAAGGTACAACTTCCTTAAGTTTTGTCCATGAGTGTGTTTTCAATAAAGGTCACTGTAATATCTTTCAGAGTTATTGTCTGAATTCTGATATATATGCTGAAAGGTACAACTTCCTTAAGTTTTGTATAGTATTACGCTGGATAGTATTTCAGTATTTGTGTTCGTACAGTATCTGTATCTCTTATATATTATTGCACCAAGTTGCAGCTTTGCAGGGTCGTCGACCTTGGTTTCTTCCTTATTGGTGTTATACACGTTTCCCGAGCAGGTTTCCATACTCAAAGCAAATAAATAAAAGTAAAAGTAAATAAATTACCTTTTAAAGTTATTACGTTTATTTATTCGTTGTCTTCCTCGTAGGTCGTGATCCGCAGTCTTGGTCTAGGTCCTCTCTCACTCCAATATCCAATAAAGATATATGTACAAAAACAATATTACAAAAGGAATGATGATAATCTAAATAATCTGTTTTAAATAAATAATAAATATCATAGAATATTTTGAATAAATGTAGGGCGAATTGATGCAAAAATATGAAAATCATGACGGCTCTTGTTAAAACAATACGGTGCTTATACTAAAACCAGTTATAATGAGAGATTCCAGACAATAACGAAAACCTAAATCTCCATTGCTGTATCATGTTCAGGCGTACAGACTTCACTCTAGGTAGCCCACTGTACAATGGTGTTGTATTATGTTTCGGAATATGTATTATATGACTGATTGATGAATGACAATACGTTTTAATGAGAGATTTCACAACAATTAAGAAAATCACATATCCATTGTTGCGTTATGTCTTAACTCATTGTTAACTTATGTATATACCTTGTGTGATTGATTGACTAATGTGTGACAATGCGACAGGAGACCCGACAGTATTCGGAAACATGCGACCCTGTGAGGAGATCACTGAAGCTGTAGTGGACAGTGTCCGGTCCCACAAGTTTGACGGCTATGCACCCAGTACAGGTAAGCCTAACATATTGTTGTTATGTGAAAAAAATAGTACAAATGTGATATTGCACTTGGATAAGGTGCATAAATTATGAAAAAAGGCATCTCTTTATCGTGAAACTGAAAGTTGCTGATGGCTTGCGCCATCTATCGGAATAAAGTGACATTGTACTGGGATATGGTGCATAAATTATTCCGATAGATGGCACAAGCCATCAGAAACTTTCAATTGCACGATAAGGAGATGCCTTTTTTCACAATATTGTTGTTTGTCAACATGTAAACGACCCATGTTACACATGACCGTATAAATTTCATTTTAATTTTTGGTCATTTTTTAAATTTAATTATTCTATAATACAATATAATGTGGCTTATAATTGTAGAACGAAATTTTACAATTATACCACAAATGTTTCTTTTGAACAAAAAATTGAAATTTATTTCAATGAGAAATAACAATTATTTCTAACCTTAGGGATGAAGTATGATAGGATGAATTGTGAAGAGAAACTGAAAAGCGTCCACCTAGAGACCATGATTTCGGGCTAATGGCCTTCGTCAGTCTAGGGCGGACTTTATTCCATGAGATCCACACGGGATCTAATGGAATATTGACAATCTACCAAAGAGGTGTTTAGCTGGCAAAGTGGCTGGGCCAAATCTATGGCTAAAATATAGATGAAAATTTTGCCGGGAGGATATTGATCTAAAGAGAAAAAGGTCGCTTCTCCCGTCAAAATAGACGTCAAAACTTTTCAGTTTGCCAAAGCTGGTGTTGTGGCTTTGTCACCAATCCGAGACCGCTAGTTTGCGGTGACGGTCAATAGATGGCGTCTAGTTTTGACGTCTATTTTGACGGGAGAGGCGCCCTTTGTTTCTTTAGATCAATATCCTCCCGGCAAAATTTCCATGCTATTCAAATGTTATTGTAAATTTCTAAATGAAGATGTTGTGTCATCAGTGAGTGGTGTTCCAGGATTCCAGGAGAGCAGAGACGCGGTGGCACGATACAGTGCCAATTCTGGACTTACTATTGATGCAAAAGTAAGTTTTTACTCTTTAGACCTAAATTAACAACAGACCCATGAAAAGAAACCATGCCCTAGCTTCCTTATTGAGTATATCAAAATGTAAAAGCAGAGAAAAATCTTTATTAGAATTACATATAAATCGACATGTTTACATTGTTGATCCTCGATGGAATCAAGAGGAACAAGGTTTGAAGAGCGAATCTACTAGAATATCACCAATCTCCATTAAAGTTATGCCAATATGGCTTTATAATCTACTACAAGGTTATCCCAAAAGTTCGTAAACACTTACAAAAAATTGAAATACCAATATTATTCGACATAATATTATTCTCCATTATGTATAATGTCCTTGTCTTCTTCTTTCTTATCTCCACTCAATTATATCTGGATGAAGTAGTATGCGTCTGCCTTTGTTATTAAGACTGGGAGCACTACTCAGTGGCAGGTTGACTTAGCTCCAAAAGAAATGGTCGCTTCTGACATGAGGAACAGACGCCATGTACAGCTGCTCCTAACATGGAGTACAAACGATGCTCATCCTGTATCCCTGGATTAGGAGTCCTTACAGGGTACTATCAGCCGGGCCAGCTGAGCCCAGGTTTTTTTTAGTGAGCTTGTTACTGCTCCCTCTCCTCCTTTTTCATCCGGGCTTGGAACCGGTAAAGGCGGAGTTTAATGTCTTTGTAATATGTATAAAGTAATTGTATTATTATGTATTCGCCGTAAAAACATTATTCGCCAAGTAATAAGAAAACACGAAATTTTAGGACAACCTTATATAAAAAACCATAAAACGTGTAATACAAACATAAAAACTGTATTAATCTTTTTTGAAGTCGTATTGACGAATATCTATTGCACATTACCTAGTTTTATTACCACTTTATAGGTGTCTTTACCTCACATGAACATGACAATTAAAAGATTAACTTTTTAATGGCGATTTCAATGGACCATCAAAGTTAATGAATATACCAATTAAAAAACTAAAAATAATTATTTTCTTATTTTAAATAACAATTTAATGAGCTATTAAATTTTAAATATAATATACAATGAACGATTTACTTCACAAATTTATTTAAAACTACGTTTAAGTATAAAAGAATTTTAAAATGTTTTTCAAATTTTGTAACTTAAATGATAATTTATTATACAATATAATGCGGTTTATGACTGTAAAATTGATTATATTTTATTATAAATTAACTCTACATAATATTTATAAAATAAAAGGACTTAAAAGCGCGAATGTTTCTTTTATACATAAAACGAACTTCTACTGCCCTTACTGCGATGAAAAAATATATTGGGAGGGCTTGGCCCATCAGTGGTGAACCCTCCCAGCGGTTTCGCCAATTCAATCCACCAGACCGCTTCCCAGAGCTCTAATACCGTATTGGATCACTCTGCCCCCATATGCCACACCGAAGGATGGAATCTTAGAAATGGTTTTCAAGCAAACCATGGACATAAGCTTATAGGACAGTAGAATTACATTCAAATATTTGCTTCGAGCAATGCTCTTCAGCAAACTATAAAGACAAGGCCAGTAGGAATAAATTAACACAAAGCAATAACGCGCCATCTATACACATATAATATTTATAAATGGAAAAATATGTCTAGGGTAGCCTAGTGGACATGGCATCTGCCCGGTAAGTGGAACACTGTGGGTTCCCATCCCTGGACACTTTTATTTTCCGTTTATCATTACTCTTCACAATTCATCCTATCATACTTCATCTCTAAGGATAGAAATAGTCGTTATTTCTCTTTAAAATAAATTACAATTTTTCGTTTGAAAGAAACATTCGCGGTAAAATTTTTCAAACGTCGTTTTACAATCATAAGCCGCATTATATTGTATTTTACTGGTTATGTATAATATATGTACGTGAAGGTATACACTGTTGACATTACGACCTGGGATCGAATCCAGAATTAGGCAATTTTTTTTTCTTAATAATAATGTTACGTTGTTCCTTGACAAAAGAACAACTCCCGTGAGTATAAAGGATATTTAAAATAACCTAGTGGACATGGCATCTGCCCGGTAAGCGGAACATTGTGGGTTCGATTCCCATCCCTGGTACTTTTATTTTTCCGTTCATCATTACTCTTCATAATTCACCCTTTCATACTTCATCCAAAAAGTTAGAAATAGTCAATATTTCACCTTGAAATAAATTTTGATTTTTTCATTGAAAAGAAACTCATGCGGTGTAACTTCAAGTGTTGTTTTACAATCATAAGCCGCATTATATTGTATTATACTGGTAATATATATTATATGTATGTAAGGGTATACATCGAATCCAGAATTAGGCAATTTTTTTTAAAAATATAATAATAATGTTACGTTGTTCTTTGACAAAAGAACAACTCCCGTGAGTATAAATGATCTTTATTCATGATAGAATTGGGAAAAAAAGTTGTAAAATTACGAATATTTTCTCATAATGAGTATGAAGAGCGATTTACGCTTGAAAGCTAGCGGTTTTTAAATAAAAAGATACTCATTGTGAGAAAATATTTGTAATAAAGGATCTTTAGAAAAAGAAAAAAAAATCACCAAGGATGAGTATCTTAATGTTCACGTTTCAAGCTTTGAGGTATTAACGACCAATCAACAGCATTAAGAATATTTCTCCTTAAAATAAATTACGATTTTTCGTTCAAAAGAAACATTTGCGGTAAAACTTATCAAAAGTCGTTTTAAATTATCAATTATTTTATTTCCAAAGCGTCATATCCCGCAAGGGATACTTGCGCCAAACAAGGAGAAAAGTTTATTTATATAAGTTATTTACATTATTCAACGCATGAAAACATTAGAGATCCAGATTTTGTAGAAAGTTTAAAATGTTTTAAAATTCGTTTTAAATTATATTAGTAAAAATTAATAACAGAGTAATATGATAAACATATTTTCAGAATTTCTCATTCGTTTAGTGTTAATATGGATCACACCACCTTTTCACTTGCCCAACCTTCCAATACCAAAGATTCCTGACGGCCACCTTCCTAGAGATCACCAACCTAATTACAGCCACATTCCTAGAAAATCTCCCAAGAAAGAAATCTGCTCACCTCAGTAATTCCACTGACATTGTAAATAACCATGAAAAACCAAGGGGTGCACACAGCAGTACCACCCTCCCGCCTTCGCGTTGGTTCCCTGTGTAAACCTCGGAACCTCAGAGGTCCTTGATTCATCGGCAGATTCAGGGAGTACTGTGAACAAAGGGTATGAGAGCCAAAGGGGGGAGTCCAATTGGAGCGTAGGACGGATTAGGCCAATTCCGAACGGGAGGGCTCGGTCAGCAACCTTGCCATGAATTCTCGGAGACGCCTGTGGGTTTGATTGGTCACCCCCATGGAGCCAGACCATAATGGCGGACGCGAGGGGCCAAACAATGGCCGCTCGGTGCATGGAGAATGCATCATTCCTTTTGGTACGGTGGCCATATTAGCAGCATAGGTGCATGCTTCGCATGCAGGCTTGTGAACCTTCGAGGTCTGGGTGGCCACTGCTCCTAGGATGACCTTGTAAATAAAACCAAGAAGATGTCAGCCCGGGTGACTTCTGTACGTGGTGGCTCCAGGAACCTACTGGGTCAACTATATAATTAATAATAATAATTTTAAAATGTTAATATTTGCTTTATTTCTATTGAAAGACAAAAAAAAATGAAATTAAGGAAATTTTCATACGACAGTAGAAACTTCATTAGATAAAACTCAAGCTAGAGGACATCTCTTTATAATTATCTTTTTTTTGTTTTATACATTTATAACGCCTTGACAAATATTTGATATTTTTTCATGATGGAGGACAAAGGATTTTTGTAGATACATCGAGAAAATAAAAAAAAATTCTGGCTTTAGTGTCTCTTAAAGAAATATGGATGCTGGCCAGGTAACCTTCATGATTATTCTACTGTCCTATAAGCTTATGTCCATAGTTTACTTAAACACCATTTCTAAGATTCCACCCTTCAGTGTAGCATATATAAGCAGAATGATCCAATACAGTATTAGAGTTTAAAAGAAGCGGTCTGGTAGATTAAATTGGTGAAACCGCTGGGAGGGTTCACCACTGATTAGCCAAGCTTTCCCAATATCTTTACATCGCAGTAAGGACAGTAGAAGTTTGATTTATTTGTGAAAGAAACACTCGCGTCTTAATGTTTTCATTTGTTATATATAGATGGCACGTCATTGCTTTGTGGTAGTGGTGTCTTGTCCATGGAGTAAATCATATCGGTCCATGCACCCTGATCACAATACCAGCCAACTGAGATACCTTGTCCGTATGGATGTCCTCTTCTGGATTGATGTCTGCCATATAGAGGGCTACAAGGATGGTCAGGTATATATGGTCCGGAGTGAGTTGGGTGTTGTAACAGTTATTGCAGTTCCTGTTGGATCTAGTTACGTCTGGGTTTATCTTCATTCCTTTAAAATGTCCTGTTCTGATTCTTGAAATTGTTGTTGTTAATTCTTTGTTAATGTTGAGGTTAAATATGGGCTGGGATATTTTAATTTTTGTAAGAGTTTTGATTTTGCTATTGTATGTGCGTCTTTCAGTGTTATTGAACTAGTTTCCAGTGCCTGTTTTCGTCCTTCCTTCGCTAGGCTATCAGCCTGTTCATTGACTTCTATTACAACATGGGCTGGTATCCATTGCATGGTACATCTTTTTGCCTATTGTGCGCAGACCACTACAACTACAATAGAGTAGTTATTGCTTTGTAATAACTGTAAGTGATACCAGCAATTTTTTCCAGTCTTACTGCTTTACTAACGATGCGTGCTAATAAGTATGAATGGTTGTCCAGGATGTTATCTTGACCAATGGATGCTCCCAAGCTCTAGACTTCTGCATCAGCGTGTTGGCCAACCCAGGACAGAACATCCTAGTACCAAGGCCAGGATTCCCGCTCTACCAGACTCTCGCCAACAGTCAGGGCATCAAGATTAAGTTCTACAACCTTCTGGTGAGTCCATCAATCACACTGCAACATGGATCAACTCTTTTCAACCCAATAAGAAGCTTAGAAAAACAGATAAAATATATAAAGACAAAATTCTCCTCTTCCATCAAAACTAGACGCCATCTATTGATCATCGCCACAAACTAGCAACCTCAGGTCGATGACAAAGCAACAATACCAGCTTTGGCAAACTGAGAAACGTCCAGCTAGAGACGCTGAAGAATCAGACCTGCAGAGAGAGAAAGAGAGAGCTTGAGATTGAATATACTTGTACCAATCGTCCATATAAGATTATATAGGGTTAATAGGTGAGAAAAAACGTAAAATTAAATATTATTTTCATCAGACGAATCCTACTGAGGGTCGTCTGGTATGATGTCACATTCCACCCTGGACAGATCTCCCTGACTATTGCCATGTCAAGGAATAGCTTCAGACCTCTGCTCAATTGCCAGCTAAGCACCTCTTTGGTCAAATCTGATTATTTCATTAATCTCGTTCGAATCTCATAAATTCAACGTTATCCCTTGACTGATGAGGAACATTAACTAGAAACTATGGTCTCCAGATGACGTTCTGAAGTATGTGTTGTGGTTTTGTAGAAACATCGAAAAAATAAAAACATTATAAAGGACTGCGGCGTGTGATTATAAACAATACTTAAAATTATACCGCATAAGTTTCTTTTCTATGAAAAATCAATATTTTTTTTTTAAAGAGAAATATTACTATTTCTAACTTTTTATTATATAATATATTATATTATATATATATTTACTAAATATTACTATTTCTAACAAAAAGCTAGAAATAGTAATATTTCTTATGAATAAACGTATCATTAAATGGAAGATAGGTATCTTTTATTTGTAAACGTTACGAGCTTTCGGGCAAACGCCCTTCTACAGGTTTGAACACTGCTCTCTACCCATCTTTAAAACCACAGAAAAAGCCCGTATCATTTCCCATCTCACCGCCGCCTCCTATCCACTAACATTCATTAATAAACATACCTATTCTCCCGCTCCCTCCAATCCTCCCCCAGTCTTCAGGACTACCTGCATGTTGCCCTATTCTCCCTTAACAGTTAGTATCTCCCGTCTCATCAGGCCATTTGGCATTCGCACCTTTTTCATTAATACCCCCAGTATCCACTCACTTCTCCGACACCCCATTACAAAAACTGGTACCCAACTCAGTCCTCTGGATTCTTCTGGGGCGGTCTACTCTGTCTCATGCGAACATTGTTCCGCCACTTATGTGGGTGAGACAGGTAGAACCGTCGCCATTAGAATGTCAGAACACACCCGCAACATTAACAACAACGACCCACGTTCCCTCATCTATCAGCATGTTGCATCCACTGGCCACTCTTTTAATACCAACCACCCCACTATCCATTACCGTAACATACCCAACCTACACCAAAGATTAATGTTAGAATCCATAGTATCCACCAAACTTAAAAGCATAAATAGAAAAATAGAAATTCCTGAAATTTATGATATTTTTGTTTCAAGTTAATCTATTCCTTTTTTACATAGTTAAAAATCTAGTATACAACATCTTATTACCATATCAATACAAAAAAAAAAGAGAAAAAAAAAAAAAAAAGGGTCAAACCTGTAGAAGGGCGTTTGCCCGAAAGCTCGTAACGTTTACAAATAAAAGATACCTATCTTCCATTTAATGA